GCGCTTCAGTTATCATTAATTGTCTGCGCGACGTAACGCATGCTTCATTACGTCGAAATTGATTAATTTTGATTAACGCCCCGTGAGATTCCTCTCCACCTTCACAGTACTATCTATTTACACATTGTCCATAATTTCCTGGCATTAATTAGCGATTTATGTAAATTTGACGCGCTCTTTCGGAACCATCACGAGCATTTCGCGATATGCAGAGGATTTGACAAAAAACAAACCTATTGTATAGTATTATAATGTTAGGCTACTTTTAGACTTGGTAATTGTTCGATGTGCCCGTACCCATTCTAAAGTTTCACAAGACACGAGCTCGTAATAATTACATCATTATGACGTTAGAAACGTGAGACGCATCACGCTCCATCGTTTGCTGCTTTCGAGCTTCCACCACGGAACATTATATCTTTCGTTTTTGCATGCTTCTCTAATTCTTAAAAGTCCTACTATCCGTATGAAACCATCGGAGACCCTACTAAAACTGTAATCTGTGTTTCATTGTCACGGCCGAAAATTGGAGCAGATATGTAAGAATACTCGCAAATTATGAATCGCGTCACAAGAGACTGAAATGAATCATTATTTTATATTGCTAACGGAAACATGGCGAAATTGTTCCTAATGTTCGTTCTGCAAATCGATATGTCGCCTTACTTTCATTACACTTTTAGTGAACTTGTCGAGTTCTTTTGTGAAGCATACACTGTTTGATTTTTGCGGAAAGTTATCGAACGTCTCACGATAATCGAAACGAATAATAAACTTGCCGTCACACAAACGGTCTCACTTTAGCCCAAGAATTTTTAGGACAATTATTATATATCGTACCAATCGTAGTAGTATCGCGCGACATAATCGGTGAATGGCCAATAAACGCGAGCGGATGTATATTATAATATTAAGAATTACATATATAAATATATTATTCGTATGCGGCTAATCTGCCCGAACGAACGACTGACGAAGTAGCGCATATTATATGATATATGATACACGATTCTTACAACTTGTGGCGGGTTCGTAGCAGTATCACTCTCGAGTAATCAACGTCAACGTAATAACGATTATCACGAAGTCTCGGGTAAGCATTTCGTTCGATTACTCCAAACGAAAAAAAAAAGAAGAGAAAAAGAAAATTTGACGAAGATAATGTCTATGAGGCGACGATTTTTAGGGAACGAGAGATATATCAAATTCTGTATAAAATAAAGACGTGACTTTGTATGTACGTGTATGTGCGTGTATGCGTGCATGTCTGTGAGAAAGACTTATCTCGGAGAGAACAAAAGAGTGAGAAAAAGAAAGTGTGGCGCATGGTTATGTGCACACATATATCTATTGCATAAATATATAATACCATTATATACATGAGCTACGATAATGCGCAAGGGCAAAATGAGTTAAGTCTAGGATACGATAGAGGACAATTAGAAGAAGTGCGTTCACAAAGAACACGCGCGACTACGGAATCCCTGCCCCGCCACCTCTAAAAAAAAAAAGGAAAAAAAAAAGAAAATACAAAACACCGTTCAATTGTACAGTCTTAAGTTTTTAGTTGTGTTCACTATTGTATACAGCGGGATCAAATTATACTATCTGTATCAACGGGACGGTTGTATGATCTGTGTGACGTGCATCATCACTTATACAGACCAATACATGCATACTCGGTACGCATGTGACGCGCGTACGTCTAAAGAAACATACGAGAAGCATGTTCGTACTGCGAAAAATACACGCTAGTGATCGGTTTAGCTGGTGTCGATTATCTCGACTTAAACCGGGTTCTTGTCTTCTGGAAAGGATAGAGGGATCGCTTGAAACTATGAATTAAAGACCCGATATCGACAAAGCTGGGACTAAAAAAAAAGAGGCAGAGCATGTATTGTTTCAACACCATCCGTGAAACAGCGAAACTCCGCGAAAATCCATGTCCTTCGACTGAAAACTACTAGACTTCGCACCTGGTCAATTCATCGTTCGCGAATGAATAGTCGTTGCGTATGCCGCGATTTTTCCATATGACGCGGACGGACAAGGGAGACAGTCGCTTTTTCTAGTCCAGGATGTAACGAACGTGCTCCGAACGTACAAACACACACACACACACACACACACACACATCTCACTTGAACGCGACGGAGACAAGAAAAAGATAGAAAGAAAGAGAAGAGTTCCCTCTGACTTCAACGAAGGAATGCTCCGTGCGGCGTATATCCGTTAAGTCAGTGTGCAACTAATTAACGAATTTTAACGACGCGATTAGACATTATCGAATTAAATTAAATATAATGCGTGTGCGTGCGTGACCCTTCTTCCCTTCCCGCAAATGGATAAACGCGTCCGATGAAGAGGCCTCTGCGAGGCGTTTATTGCGAAGAACCATCGTTGCAACGGCCGAGCCTCATAGATCATCCTAGTAGGACAATCATAGAGTTACGCGTTTGTATTAGACGCGCTAGTAAGTTTTCATTAGATGATAGAGATGCGAGTAACGAGGGATTATCTCTCGTTTGAGAAGCTCGCTAATACATAAAATGATCCCGTGGGCGTGACGGAGGATCGTTTAGATTATTAAACGATGGCCACGCATGCGCTTCGCTCTTCTAAGCCCTAAGAGGAGCTCTCGGTACGCGAATCCTCACGGAAGTGAGAATATTATATTTCACAAGCACGGAGAGAAGTGCAGGAAGAAACGATTCCGATAAAAAATGTGGGAGCGAGGGTGATTTCATAGAGTGATTTGTAATCTGGCGTTCAATTGTGGATGCTTGTTATAAACGTGTAAGTGCGAGTTCGTCAATTTCTGCCCAGACTTAATTATAGCAAACGAGAGAATTGCTAATAAATGATTATTATAATGACAGTATATATATATATATATTAATATATATATATGTATGTATATATATGTATATATATATATATATATATATTATATATACTGATACGATACTGAAGCATCATCATCTTTTGTATCATTTGTTCGTTTGTTTTTATCTTACTGCGTTTGTCTTTCATTAATAATGCAATACCAAGATCACTCGGTTTCGACTCGGTATCTTGTGTGTAAATATATAACTAATAAAAAAATATGTATACAAATGCAACGAGAAAGTACGTCTTTTTGACGCATTTATCTTCCTTACATGAATTCCTTTTCTCCTCGGTGGTGTTAAATATCAAATGTCTGCGATTTAAATAGTTTATTTTTAACATACTCGTATTAAATACACCATATGTATAAGATAAAACGTAATATATAAGCATATTGAGTAAAAGGTATGTCGATATTCAGAATCATTATTTATTGATAAACGACGAATATTTCGCTGCTAATTTTAATTAGTGAGAGAATGATGAGAGTTCTGAATACACAGACTACAAAGCTAAACGTGAATAGAGAACAAAAAAGATTGAATAAGTAACGAACCTTTTTTTTTAAAAAAGGATAATGTTTTAGATAGACAGAAGGCACAGGATGATTTAACATTACATGTACTGCTTTTTGATATATGCATTCGTACTGAATCTGAGTTCGTCTTCTAACGACAGATGGATGCTACACACATATTCTTCTAATGAAAATATAAGATCGATGATACTGGTTTAAATAACTGTCGGAGATCGTTGCATGCACGACAATATAGATAGACATACATGAATACCACAGCATATATGTAATCTCAAAGTAAGTCTCCCAACACTTTTGTTTCGATGCTACCTCCGTCTTTCTCCCTTTTGAGTTTTTCTCTTCTCCTTTTTCTCTTCTTTTAATTGTTTTTGTTTCTCTCTAAAATATAAAATTATTTAAATTTTCATATATTTATTACATATTCGATGCTTTTAAATTCATATCAGACTGTAAATGGAAGAATGAGGATCGCGAATTGAAGATTAGGATTAAACTAAATAATTTTAATCTATATTTTGTTGTAACTGGTCGAATTTAAAAACCCTGTAACAAAGTCAGATTACAAGTGATTTTGTCAGAATTCTATGAGAGAAAAAGATATATATATCCCGTTTCTGTCAATGTAGATTAATATGAATCTTAGTTTAATTTACCTTTTATCTTTCTAATGTTCGTTTCTATCAATGTAGTTTAATTTTAATCTTGTTTCAACAAATTACATCTTTTTCTAGTTTTAAGAATCAAAAAAAGATGAAGAGTAAGTTGAACGGAAATTAAAGTTAATCTACATTGGTAGAAATGGGCGAAGATTGTGAATTGGAGATCAGAATTCAACTAGATTAGATTCTCAGAATTAAGAAAGGATAAAGAGTAAATTAAGTTTAATCTATATAGAAATGGATATTATCTAGTTGAATCTCCAATTCTCATCTCCAATTCGCAATCTTCGATATATAATTCGAGAGCTTCTACCTGTCTTCCTTGTCCTTTTCTTTCTTCTTTTGACTCTCCAGCTTGGCCTTTTCTCTTTTTTCTCTTTCCTGCTGTACAATGGTAGCTGCGTTCAAATTCTTTTCGATTCCACAATCTCCACCACCTGCTCCATCCTCTTCTCCATCTCCTTCGCTGTTGTCTTCATCAGACATTTGACTGTATTGTGCTAGTATAGCCTCCCGTATTCGTTTCTCTTCCTCTGTATAGCTCCTCTGGGTTGTCGTGGGTAGACTCTGCGATTCCAGCATTTTTGCCAGTCTAACATCAACGTCTTCCATCGGTGCAGGTGCTGCGGCGACTTCCTCAGTTGGCAACCACTCTGCCCACGCGCTTAAGATTTCTGCTACATGTTTGCCGATATTATCTTCCTGCAAATAAAAAATCAAAACTCTATATCGTATTCTCTAAACTCTTTAAAATAAAATCTTACTTTAAAAGTAAAAATTGAGTTGAAAACATGATTTAATTTTCAATCCTTAAGAATGATAATTTTTTCTTCAGAGAGATTGACTTTAAAAGTTCTAAAGCATAAGAAGCATTACGTAATTTCGCGCAAGGATAAAAATGTATATTCCTGGCACGTTGAAGCGAATTAAAAACCGCGAGAATTTAAAGATTTCATAAAAAATCGATACATGAAGTCAACGTCAGCTTCAGTAACTCTTATCTATGATCCCTGATGGGTCTATCCGTGCTCTTCTGGTGAACGAAAACGACAGACAGTTACACCGTGGAATGAATCGAGCGGAATTCGCGCGCGCGCGGGTAAAACTCGCTGGAGGAGAGCGTACGCGAGACGTAGACACGTACTTTCGGAGTACGAGTGACGAAGCTCGCGGCTATTTCCGACCGGCTGACGACCGCGGCGGTCGCGCGTATTCTAACCTCAACGTGAGCAGCGCTTATCAACTACTCACCGTTATGCCCGCGAGTATGCTCTCAAGCGCCTCGGTCTTCTCGTCCTCGGTTTCATCACCTTCGAGGATGCCTTTAATGTACGTGCCAAAGACACCCTCGTCCGTGTTGAGCGCCTGCAGCTTCTTGCTGAGCCAGGCGTCGAAGGAGCTCGCCGTGACCGCCATCACTCGTGCCAGCTCCGGCGCTCACGCGGTTTTAATTTCACCGGTCGCCTCTTCGCGCGCTCCTACTATCGTAGGAAGAAAGGAAGGATGTGCAGTGTCGCCCCGATGACACTTGATCGTCCGAGCAGTCACATCTTTCGACACTGGACGCGACAAGCCGGCGAACCGACCCGGTCATCTCCACGAAGACGTGGACATCGTCGCACCGGAGCTCAGACTTTATTCGTTTCTATGGCACTGATCTCGACGTGCGTAAAGTAAACGTATATGTCACGCGTGCTGTTACACACGACGTCGTGAATGCCGCACCGTTTCTGGAGCGCATTTCCGGAGTGTGCGCACCTTGACACTAAATGACTAAACGCATTGCAACTGCGCGCGCCTGTGTTGTGCCATATAGTACAGCGTCGTAGATTTTTTCATGCCAAAACGTGAAAGAGGATTTACAGTAACTAAAGGCTTTAGAATTATAATTCGTACGTGATGTAGAAAATAAATTTTCACCAAATTTTCATTAGCTTGAATATTATAATTTGTTGAATAATAATATTAATTTGTCGAATATAATATTTATTATATTTCATTAATTTAGAATTAATTATTTTCTGCTGTTTGACAGAAAACTTGGATTAAGATTGGCTGCATTCAGCAGAGAACGCAGCTTTGCAACTATTGTAAAATTCTTTGATTTATGCATCTAGATTTAGTAAGGAATTAAGGACAAGAAAAATGTATTTTAAAAAATAAACTTATCAATTTGTATGAAGCTGATGGGTTTTAAAGATCATCGATCTGTTGCTGATTGTAATCGCTATTAAAGAGTATTATCAATTTTTTATTACAAAATTATTATCGCTATTGAGCGCCTATTCAAATAAACTTAGCTGCAATAATGTATATGAAAAATTGAAAAGTTAAAAAGGGTGCCATAAAAACCTCCAAGAGACATCCTAAGATTTCCAAGAAGACGTCTTGCACCAAAGGAACGTTCCTAGGGTACATCCTTTGGGTAAAGTGTGCTGCAAGAAGATGCTAGAATTAAATCGTAGCAGTCGTAGAAAATTGACCAATCATATTCGACTGTGATTGGTTAATTTTCTATGACTAAAGACTATGCGACTACTACGACTTCTATTGTAGACCCCGCATTATGTAAAGCTCTGACTATGCCCTTTTGAAGAATGCCCTTGTAAAAAAAAAAAGAAAAAGAATTAAACGATTCAATTTCAAAGCTACCGCGTTCATCATCAGATGATCGCGCTTGTGTGCCAACTGCTAACTTCACACCGATCGCAGCGACCCGCCGCGGCACAGTGCGGTAGTGTTTCCTGTTGCCTCTCAGATGTGTCGTTCCTTTCGTTGTCACGGACGTATTTAGCATAAAATATGAACGTGATCGCGAAATCAACAACTCTCTCGCCGTTCTTGCGGGTGACGGCGACTGCCGTCTCAAATGGAGGGATACCTGTGACCGCGACTGTTAAAGTTTCCAAACCGAAGATTACCGTTCCCGAATCTTTCAGGCGGAGACTCCAACAGACTACCTATCAGGATTTTCTTACCGGATCTACGTGCATAAGCTCGGGAGTCGCAGGTGCGTCCACATTATTAGTCTGTTCTACGCCACGAATATTCCGTGAATTCGTGTTCTTTTATAATAAATCACACCGATATTCGCGCTATTCGCGATTATATAATCGATATGTGCACACTTCGCAGATCGCTGCGCTATCAGTTGAGCTTAGACTCTGTTGCGCCAACATTATTTTGACTTTAAGTGAGACTTGTATCTGTCTTTATCCTTCTTTCTAAATAAATAAATAAAACAGACATATATTTAGATTTTACTTATTAGGTGTTGGAATTAATTCGTAGCGTTTTTAATGAAAGAATGTTATTTATTTCACATGAGCATTAAAAAATACATTAATGAAAGTACTTCCCATCACTTGTAAAACGCTACGAATTAATTCCAACACCTAATAAAACCAAAATTAGTACTATCGTGCCTTAGGCTTGTAAATCCAGATAACATGAATATTACCTAGAAAACATCTTTATGACGTGATCTATATTTATGACATCTTTTAGACATGCATATTATCTGGAAAATTGCTCCAAAATAACTTCAACTAATGTTATAAATATAAATTTATAGATGAAAATTTACAGATCTTGATTTCACCTTTAATTCCTCCCCTCCCCCTCTTGAAGCAATAACATAAAAACCATGTTTCGATATGTGCTACCAGTACTGGAATCTTTAGTTTACGTGTTTTATAGAGTTTCAAAACTGACATTATCGAAATACATTGAAACATAATTAAAAGCCAGTACTCACAGTTGATTCTTATATTTGAGACTGTCTTAAATACACTCTTAAGATGTCATAAGCCAATCAGATGGCTGTATTAGCATCTCAAGACTTTACTTAAGTTAATCTTAAAATAAAAACGAACTATAAATACCACCCACAGTCTGTTCTTTTCATGCCTGTTTCTATTAATACAGTTTAATTTTAATCTTGGTTGAACTAACTCTTCATCTTTTTCTAGTTCTGAGAATTAGAAAACTATAAAGAGAAAAAAATGAACAGTATGTACATATACAGAAAGTTTAGCAAAAAACAATGGATCTATAATCTGGATTTATGTTATTGCAGTCAGCACGCAGGTACATCAGCGACGTTTGGCACACACCGACATTCAGTGGCCAGATTTCACCGAATATCGCCAATCTGAAACACAAGATCCAAATGCAAAATCACGAGACAGTGCGCCATCCCGAAAGGGTACCACCTACCTTATCGCAGCTGGTAAGTACAAAGAAATTGTACTTGATACATTATAAATATGAACCGCAATCTAAAACATCTTTAATTTTGTGCATCTAGGTAGTTCTGTGGCAGGAGTTTATGGCGCAAAAGTATTAGTGCACAACCTCGTTGGCATGCTCAGCCCAACGGCTGATGTACTTGCCATGTCGAAAATCGAGATAAAGCTCGATAATATTCCTGAGGGCAAGAGTGCTATCTTCAAATGGCGTGGAAAGCCTCTGTTTGTACGACACAGGTAATTCAGGATACTTGAAAATTTATTGTGTAAAGTCTGTATCAAACTATAGATTAAGATTGAGATTGGATTTGATCATTTGAAGCACAATTCGTTAAACTTGATATTGGTTTTCTTTATTTTGATTGATTAAATTTTTTTTATTTGGATTCCAATCCAATCTCAATCCCAGAGTGCTTTTCAGTAAAAGATGTGACAGTGTAAGATTAATATTACATTTGTCGTACGACAAAATTTTTAAGCGTATTAATTTGCTGAAGGAGATTCTCAGATATCTCTATCCTATAGCCAATCAACAAGTTTGAAAAATTTTGTCATACAACAAATGTAATATCAGCCTAACAGCGAATCATTAAATAGTGTTGCATTATATAATATATTATTTGCTATTATATTATTTGCGTTAAACAGAGATGAAATGATTCATTCTGTTAAGTTTAGTACACAATTGAAAAATACAGAAACAGAAAATAACGAATATCAACTTATTAGAAAGTACTACAGTATGATTTCTGATAGGTTAAAATCTGTTGTTGCCTGTTAATATTGCTTTCCAATTGTTCCTCAGGTTTAAGAAAAAAAATGTGTTTAATGTAAGTACGGTATTATATTCATGGGAATTTATAGAATTGACTCAGAAATCGCAACGGAAAATAAAGTGAATGTTGGGAGTCTCCGCGATCCGGAAGAGGACAGCGCTCGCGTGAAGGATCCCAAGTGGTTGGTCATTATAGGTGTTTGCACGCACTTGGGATGTGTACCCATCGCTAATGCGGGAGATTTCGGCGGTTACTATTGCCCATGCCACGGGTCTCACTACGACGCCAGCGGTAGAATTCGAAAAGGACCGGCCCCGCTAAACCTCGAAGTACCACCCTATGAGTTTACCGAGGGTGGTTCAATGCTCGTTGTTGGTTAATGACTATTTGCGTTATCTGTAGTCAAATAATAAAATAATTTATAATATAGAACACTCCGTGGGTATGTGTATTATCTTGTTATTATCGTGAAAAAGATCAGAGAAATATGTTTTGTATATTTCTTGAAATTTAATGAACAATCTTCATTTGAACATTGCAGAATTATTCGAATATTTCGAACGAAACAGCGTGACTGCTGTATCGGATTCAGAATAAACGTTAAGTGAAAAAAATCTTTATGAAGATTAATTGCTCAATTTCACTGGCATTTATAGAAACTCTTACAGAAATTTACTTGGAAGGTAGTGATTAATTATTTGTTCTAAGTTAAGAGATGAGATGCGAGACGTATAACTAGTAGAATTCACGAAGCTCATTGAACGGTTATTATCGATCGGAATACTGTGTGATGTATTCGAAATGCGATTGATTCGAATAATTTCTAAATTTAGAACTTATCGCATAGGTAAACGTTGAATCTTTAAAATAATCTTTAGAATATCAATCAATAACAAATATCGTCGAAGAGGATTTTAGTATTGAAGTACTGTCGATTGAAGTGCTGTCGTTGCTTTCCATACTCAAAATAAGTAATTAATCATTATCTTTCTGTATCAAATTAGTCAGTAACTTTTAGTACACACGATTGAATCATTCGTGGACACTTCTTTTCTTTGAAAAATTAGGAATTAGTTATTTATATACAATTTTTTTAAATACAACCTTATAAGTAAATTCTAAAGATGTTAAAGCATATACATAAGAATGTCTCTCTCATTTAATAATTTTTATATATTGTGTTAAAGTAATGAAGATTAATTCAGGGCACAAATGATCCATCATGTGTAGTAAAGGAAAATCATGTGTTGTATTAAGAGTTATAAATTGAATATCTGTAAAGCGGCATATATACAATGAGCTTTTAGCGTAAAATTTAAGCTTTAAATCCTAAGCCATAAGAAATTGATCAATAATAGTTGATTATTCTTTTCACATTCGATTATGATTGGTCAATTTCTTAAAGCTTAAATTTAACACTTAAAAATCTCATTGTAGACACCGTTTAATGCCTATTCTATCAATGTTGTTTAATTTTAATCTTGATTCAACTATCTCTTCATTTTTTGTAGTTTCAGAATTAGAAAAAGATAAAATGCAAGTTGAACCGAAATTAAAGTTTACCCATATTGATAGAAATGGACATAAGGGATGGTTGCAATGTACTTTCTAGAAAAACGAATTAATCGCATCAACCACGGTCTCACAAGACTCGCCGAATCCGCCACTTAGCTCCGGAAGCCTCGCGTAATCTATGCGATACATATCCTTTTGCCTCGCGATATGACTGAGGGTAGGGGGTTGTGGAGTGATACCGCTGCTTCCGCGAGGAGGCGCCAGTGATCGGCGGCACGGCCGAAATCCCCGGCGCGAGGCGACAATCGTCATCGCAATCGCCGGGCGATCGCTGCCGGTTTCACCTCGATCGCTCTCGTCGCTGCTGGCAGCGTACGGACGAGAGAAATCGCGCGCGGCGTGATCAATAGTCATTATCGCTCGGCCGTGTTCGTGACGAGTTTAAGAGTTTGGAGTAGCCGCCGGTATTACGCCGGCCGGCGCACAGCGGCATTCGCCGTCGCTGCTTGTACTTGTCGTCGTCACCGGATATATATTACGTATACAACACACATATTACATACGCGCGCGCTTTAACCCCCTCGCCGACCAGCTGACTCTCCTACTCTCCATCTCTCTTCTGTCTCTCTTCTGTCTCACTCTCCTCCCGGAACTGACACTCGGAACCGCCGCCGGCGACGCATCGCCGACGATGTATTGTCCGGTCGCGCGCCGTCACCGAGCCGTGCCGCTCCGTCGCGTCGAAAGGGTTGAAAGCCGAGAGTAGGAAAAGGTCGTCGTCGCGGGAACAAGCGAGAAGGAAACGCAAGGAAGCGCGCCCCAATTGCCGGTGAGTAACACGTATCGCAACGTATCGTCAAGAGCGAGTTTTTTGTATTGTTTATCGAATTTAGTAATCACTTTTTCTTTTCGAAACGTATGCGATCATATAATTAGCGCTGATAAGTAAATGACAATTTGACGATACAAAAGACTCGCTATAAATGAACGTCTGAGATATTTCACAAAAATACAAATGCCAACAGTAGGTGTGTATGCGAATTTAAATTCTTTATTAAATAACAAATGAAGACTCTCCTCGATTTTGGGTCATTCTCAATAATTAATAAAAACGAAAATGTGACGATAATTATAATATGAAGATTAAAGAGAATATCGCAGTCAAATACATTAAAATAGAGCAAGTCACGTTGAGATACAATAATTGAGGATGACTCAAAAGCGAGGGGTTGAAACGTTTTAATTTGTTATTTAATAAAGAATTTGAATTCGCACACAAATACTCCGTGTTGGTTCTAATTGTACTTTTGTGATTTTTTTCTAGAGCCTTTTATTATTCTCGTTCTATATTTCTCGTAATATATTTCTCGTCGATGATTCAGATTATTTGTATAGGACTTTATTTTGATATTTAAACGCATAACGTGATTTGAATAACATCTGTTTTTTGAATACTCGAACGTCACATCACGCGACAAACAGAAGCATCTTACATATATTTTTCAGATGAATATATTCCTAGAAACATGGTAAGTTTTCGAGCGATTTATGTACTGATTTCATTTCTAATTCAATTTAATGCGGCATCCTCTACGCCAGGCGATTGCTCTAGTTTATGCGACTTTTCACGATGTCGAAATAAACTTTTCGTTTTGTCCCAAAGAAAGTCTCTTTTTTTTCCTTCGCGGTGCCACGGAACATAACTTAGGTCGCTCCGCGATGTTGATCGCATTCTTTCCCGTGGAATTTCATGCATGTCCCGAAAGTCGATAAGCACAATGCCGCTGCGTTGACAATAACAATAATCGCGAGAGCGATAATAACGATCGACAGACGATGTTTTTCTCGTTTGCGCTTTTGCAATAGTATTAAGTTTACGATGTGAAAAACAGGCAAATAAAAGCGATGAAGCGCGATAAATAGAACGCAATTAATCTTACAATGTTTAAGTTGTAATATTTAATTACAAATTTTAATACTTAAACAATAGTAATTGTCACACATTCAAAAACAACTTTCATTTGACTCCTATGGCCTTGAATTATTTTCTTATTTGTATTTGAATCAAAGGAGTCGTCTAATACTTAACATTTTAGATTAAATTATTTCATTATCGTCACACATGAAGTTCGAATGTTTTGTAGATAAGTTTTTCTTTATTTGTGAGGAGCTTTATTAATTAATTAAATTGTTCGTATTTCGAAATAAAGGCTTCTTCACAGTTTTTTGCAAATAATATTATCGATAACTCTAAGAATCATTTTAAAGATTCAACATTTTTATCCGGAGTTGTTAAGCTGAGTTTGGAAATTATTTGAAAGGAACGAGATTTTGTTCAAGCATCTAAAATTTATAAATACAGATTTGAAATAATTTTGTTGATCTATCAAAACAATTATGTAGGAAATTCAAGCAGAGCTGTAAAAAATTCTAATAACAAGTTTAAGCGTACTACATAATTTTGATAGTCCAACAAAATTACTTCTAGATCTGTATGTAGTACAGAAAATTTTAAATATTTTAGCAAAACCATTCTTTTCGTGTGTATTTCAAATACGGCATGCAATATCCCGATCGATGATCGAATAACCGTTCAATGAGCTCCGCGAATCATACGTCTCGCATCTCATCCCTTGTTTGGTAACACGGGCATCGACATAAACTCGAGCCGGCATGTGTTTGTGTATCTGCACGTCTGGGTCATTCGATGATTTCCGTACACGTGAGTCGTGCTTTGCATCCCGGTAACGGTTCCAAAAGCAACCACCGCACCGCTGCTCTACGCAACGCTTCGCGGCTTCTTTGTGCGTTCTGACCTTTACATTTCTATTTATGTAAATAAAGACAAGATCGTTTGTTCGATGCTGCGCAACGAGCGACGCGTCGATGCATATTCAAAATTCACACGAGCAGTCGGACCAACAATCAATGTAGACCTTGATCGAGTGTATAATTAGGAATCGTAATGTTCTTTTTAATATGAATTGAGAAAAGACACTCCTGAGTGATAAGAAATAATAATAATATTCGCATTAATATTCGCTAATTATATCAAGAGCACCGTGTTTTGCGAAAAAAAAATTAACATGCTTATCTCTCGTGGGAAATTAAAGCCTGTGACACGCGATGCGTGTTTTTTTGTTGCATTGTTTGCGTTTTAATAAATTATTAGAAATTTTGCGTATATAATGTAATTCATTAAACACAAGCAATCCAGTAGGAAAAAAACGCAGTACGCCGCAGGCTTAAAGTAACCAACGTCAGATTATCATTATTAATTAGATATTGTTACGTAGAAAAATATATAATATAATAGGAAGAGACATAACGGAAGTGACAAACGTATGACACGGCGTATTCGCGTGCACCGGTATTTTTCTCCTATCGATCAATTGTCCGAACGCGTGCTCTTCTTTCGGCGATCTCTCCCTTCGCAACTTTGTTCTGGCGGAGACTGTACCCGTTGTTCGCAAAGACGATCGTTACCCACCCCGGGTGAGGATCTCCAAGAAAGTTGCAAGTGCAAAGGCTGAGCGGGCACGAGTTGCAATGCAAATGCCGTCGGGTTCCTGGCATTCTAATTCTTATGCGTCAGCGAGCGAGAAAACGCGGCCGAGAGTGCGGCGCGCGCGCACGGAAGAAGGGAGCCGCTGTCTTCTCTCAGGATCCAGTTTCCCTTTTTCTCTCTCTCTCTCTCTCTCTCTCTCTCTTCCTTTCTCCCTTTCTCTGTTTCTCCTCGCCTCCGACGGCGCAGGACGAGACTCTTTGCTGCTTTGTGCCCTGCATCTACCGAGCGCACTCGTTCTCCCTCGTGCGTACGCGTATGCGTGCGTGCGTGCGTGCGTGCGCGCACGCGAAATTGCGTGCGTCGTAACGAGAGAAAGAAAGACGGGGAGAAAGAGAAGGAGAGAATGAGCAGAACCCCGCCGCAACACGCGGGCCTTCACGCTGGAGGAGAATCAATAGATGTGCGTTGCATCTTGCCCCTCCTCGTCCCCCCGCAACCCCCTCTTCACGCGTTTTCGGCTGCCACCCTTCTGCCACTGACTCCGACCTTCGCACGCGAGTGCGTACTTCGCCGTGTACTTTGCGAGCCGCATACGATTTACGAGGCACGCAGCCGAATCTGCATTCGCGAACGGTATTAAACCGAGGAATTCGCGTAAGAATGGAAATTGATCGGCAAAGTAACGAAAAAATTCGAAGAAGAGATGCACTTTTGATCGCGCTATCTGTACAACTTCGATTAAATCTGATCTATAATGTGCTGTTTGCTTTTTTTTTGTCCCAGACAACACGCAATGTCTACAAGAAGTCTTTTACATGATGTTTTTTTAGACATGCTTATTGTCTGGAATGGTTTTTTAGCCTCTTGCCTTTTTCTTATTCTGTTCTTTGTTTTCCGTCGCCCGAGATAAAATCGATGATCGAAATCTCTTTTGACCAACTTCGGAAGAAACAAGAAATACGTGACACGGCATGAAATATGTGGCATGAAACACGATTGTCAATAAATCGCGAGAGAAAAACAAAGAGATAAAAAGCAAGAAATAGGAAGCAAAGAGCACATTGCAGATCGGGCTTTATTTCATAATACGAAATGCGAAACATTACCTGTTCCGCATTTTTGCGAGAGATTGAATCTCTTATATTTTATAAGAAACAAGATAGATGAACGTCGTTTTTTCCGTCTCGTTTCGCGCCAATGAATCGATACGGGCGTTATCCGTGAAAGGTCGAAAGTTCATTAGCGACTAAATCTACTCGTGCGAGCTAATCTTATTCCTCTCACGTACTTTCGCTTCGCCTCGATGGATCGTTCGCCCTTTTATCATCTTTTTAACTTTTCCGCAACCCGTTCTGTGAATTTTTGTTCGTGTCGTTGCGTTTTGTACGCCATATTGCTTCGCCCTTGCCTCGACTATCGCGATCCTATCCATCTAGGAACTTGACGCATATATCAAGATACGGTAGCAGGATAAGAGCTAATTATCGCATAGTCCTAGAAAATGGTATAATTTGAGGTGTACATGCCTGGCTCGTATTTTCTATCGAACTTCCCGCGGCATCGATTGCCAGTAAAGATACCTGTGTGAATGTTAAGCCGCCCTTTTCAACCGCCTACTGAATTATTTACATTGACGATTGTCATTAAGAAAGCATACATCTTTCCGTCGCTTCCTCTTTGCCAATTCAAATGTAATTAAAAAGGATTAAATTAAGGAATACGTATATATACATATTAGATATTTTTCAAAATCTATTATTAAGATAAACGAAATTAAAATTTTTCGAAGAAATATTTTTGATCGTTTGCAACTTTTATTTGTATACATTAAAATATTGGTTACGCAATAGTGCTGCATTTTTCATACCGAAGTAAAGTTTGAATGTCGAGGAAGTGAATTATTCATCGTTGAGGGCAAAAGCTGAGACTAGTCTTGAAATTTCTCCTCCAGTAAATCATACGCCCTGGTCTTCGTCTTCAGCTGTGACGACAGAGATCGAACATCCCCTTTGTCTTTGTCAGAGAAAGAGCTGGCCGTCATGAGATCTACTGTCTCTCGATATTACGCAATAAATGATATTCCTCTCGAGAAAATTGAATAGCGCTGCAAATAACGCCCAGTTGTCTTTTTCCCGCAATCGTCGCCAGTCGAAAGGAGACCCTCGTCTTTAAGCGTAGCTATGTTTCGTGCATCGCGTTGTACGGGTTTAGGTAGACCAAAAGTAGCGACAAGGTTTGGAGGTCGATAGGACGGGGTGAGATCGAAAGCGAGAAGGGAAAGCGGCGAAAGTGAGAGCGCGAGTAATCGTAATCGTAAACACACAACCCGGCGCAGCGTGGGCGAAGAAGAAGGGAAGAGAAGTGAGAAGAGGGAAAATGGAGGGAAACTCCGGACGAAAGGGAAAGGGAAGGGTGCGAGGATGGAAGGACAAGTGAGAGTGAAGAGGGCGGCCGAAGGGGCGCGAAAGAGGGTGGTAGGCGAGAGAGAGGCACAGGTGAAAGTGAAGCGAAGGTGGTCGAGTTAGAACGGTAGCATTCGGAGAGGGTGAAAGGAGGTTAATGATTAGTTCTTCCGAGGTCGGGGGCTGTTGCCGGGTGCAGGTTGCTTGGCTCTTCCCCTTGATCGCTCTTTCCTCCCCTACCTCTTTCTCATCCTCCTCCTCCTCCTTCTTCTCCTCCTTCACTTTCCCCTCCCCCTCCTCCTCCTCCCGTTTCCTGCCGCCATTCCGCGTTTCCCCTCTTGCGCCGATATCTCCTCTTTTCCCCTCGATCCCTTTATCATTCTCTTCAACCCCCTTCGTACTCTCGGCCATTCTACCAACCTCCAAAAATTCAGACCCCACCACCATCGCTGAAGCTACGCACGCACGACGGAGTTTGAGGGCTTGCAAGGTTGTTCTCCCCTCCATCCTAAGCTGCTCCCAGGAACGTGTCGATTATTTATAGGGCCATTCTAAAAACCACAATGTATGTATATAAGTTTCTATTTCGGTATGAATCTTATCGAGATTTTGTTCGAACTCGAAAGGAAATGTCATCCGTGCTGCTCTCGTGACATTTTTCTGTTTATTTCAGTAAACTAATTATTGATCGCATCAAGTGTAAATGTTACGTGTATTTTTCTTTTATATTACGAATCCGTGTTGAAATAAATTTTAAATTTAATGTTTCCTACGAGACACATTTTCGTTGTCCAGTATTAATATTTCCCGCAGAATACAGTTAAAATGTGTTCTAGGTACAATATTAAAAGGTGCTCGTAATTTATACAAATTACACGGTTATTACAGCGAAGTAAAATATTACGCGGTTCATATTACGTATCGTCGGCGTAGGTCGACGCGCTGCACAATGTAGCAGCGAGTCTTATATCGATCCTAAAATTGGCGGCATCTCCACGCTCGAGAGAGGACGCATTCAGAGTCACCTGCCTAATCTGACTAACAAATTTTATGCAGGGGACAAGTGCCGTGTACATACACCGGCGTTTCAATCTTAATGATTAGAATGCGGCTGATGATACGCCTCGAACGCGTTAGAAAGATTTCGTAAAGCTTGGGCCATGTTCGTATACGATAATTTCGAATGCAGGTGCACGACCCTCCGTCGTTAAGAACGGTCGGCCGTAACCACCGCCGCGTATAAATATTTAATTCAACCAAAACCTTCACACGTTTATATAAAAGTTCATATTGGGATCTCTACGCTGTAAAAGGATAACTGCAAATTATTACTCTCGTGCGGAGTTTTTTTTTTATTAATAAAAGAAATCTTCTCAATTTAAATTTTAATTTCTTAAACGAAATTTTTATTTGTTCACAACTAAATTACGCTTGAAATAGATATATTTATCTACGGAAACAATAATTTTTTAGTACCTATCAAACAACTAAGAGATATATATACATTCTTCAAAACTTTTAGAGTAAAAGCTCATTCTGAAGAGTACAATCTCTTAAAGATTGAAAATGGAGCCACTATTTTGAAAGATTGGCTCAATTTTCATTCTTTAGAATGAGATTCTACTCCAAAGAATTTATTAGAGTGTTTATTTATTTTTCTGATATTTTATATGATGGAATTTAAATTTTCCTTCGAGCGTAAACTCTGTTTACTTGCATCGCGACTTCATCGGTGAATCAATCGTCTCACGTGATGCTCTTGGGCATTTTCTGCTGCGTCCATTACGTAGCAACGAGCTTATTTTGTCGATTCCTCGACGGCGCCGCCGCGTCCGGTGCTTCCGTTCTTCGTTATTCGGTAGCCGGTAGTTAAATTATTTTATCGATTGCGCGAAAGAATCTCTCTTCTCCAGGGAGAGTGAAAGAGAAAGTGGAAAAAGAGAGAAAAAGTAGAAGACGAGGAAAAAAGATTTGCCGTGGCCGCGCACCACCCCTTGCAGCGTCAGCCCTGGGCTCCCTAACGGCCTCCGAGGACTTTCCAACGAAAGTGATGGCCGTGGCTGCGTAGGAAGGGCGGCGGGAGAACGATATGCGGGGGTGGCAGTGACGGTGGTGCTCCATGTTCTCAGCTCTCCCGCGAGAGGGAGGGAGGGAGAGGTTGGCAGAGTCGTCGTTGATGGAGGGGGGGGGGTTGGTCGGCCGCGAGGGAGGTCGGCTTCAGAGGACGGCAGAAACGGCAGGAAGGGCGATACGATAGCGAACACGCGCGCGAGGGTTGACGCGAGTAGACGCGGAGGCGAGGGGTGGGTAACGTCGGTAACCTTGCAACCCTCTTGCGTACGCGTTCGTTTAAGGAAGGGGAAGAGAGAGACTGGAATCCCGCGGCCGCTGGAGGGGTGGCTGCCGGCCGCGGGCTTGCGAAGGCAGTCGGGGGTGCAGCCGCGCACCGGGGCGGCAGTGACGGGCGTGACGTAGTCGGAGGAGGATGTATGCCCCTGTTGGCGAGGGCCCCAGCAACCAACGACCATCCCTGGTCAATCCATGGTGGCTTCATCCGCCAGGTACGGTCGACCAGTTGTTGCTGTTATTGTTTTCGTTATTGTATCGCGCCTCCTCCACCTGTCGCGTTATCGACGTCGAATGTTGATATCGTTCATATCGTTGCGGGAGGCTTTCGCGAGTAACTTGTTTGTTTTGATCGCAACTCTCGGAAGTCGATGCGTGGGGTGTGGGAGATTGCAAAGGGCGGCTTTGAACTTGAAGCATAGCGGCGGTGCTACGAGGAGGAGGGATGTAAAGCTTGCTCGCGACAGCAAATACATGGTGTGAAAAAGTGAATTTTTGGATAGCGTCTCATGGTTGGTGAAACGATCGAGGTTTGGTACTCAGTGGAAAAGAAAATTGTCAACTTCATGATGTAAAAATAAGTTGTTTTTATGTGATGCTAGTCTTTTATTTAATTTATTTTATTTTTGTTTGTTATAGAAATTAAAAAATTTTATTCTCATTATTCTATTTATTATCCTAATTATTCTAAATATTTTTATTAATATTTTGCAATGTGTGTGTCCTGTATAGTTTACAGTATAAATATACTTGTTTGGATTGTTATGAAAATTAATATTAGTGCAATCAAATATATTACTTCCTCGCTTCAAAATTAAAACAACTAAAAAAATTAAATTTGCCTGAAAAGAGAAAAAAAAATTACTTTTTAGTTTAACAAAGAATTATTGATTAATTAAATTATATCGGCAAAAACAATATACTCCTAACACGATTAAATAAAATTTTTATTTCACAACTCATAAAAAATTACTCTTTTTGAGGTGTAACGATTTTTTATTAAGTTAAATTAATTATATTTTTATTATTGATAGAATAATGTTTATATCAAATTTATTCATATTTTTTAGTAATAACTCAAAAACAATATTTTTTGATTATTTTTTGTGTGACTTTTGAAGTAAAGGAGCGGTATATGAAATTTGACGCAATTATACAATTCTATTTAACGAAATAGTTACCATTTTATATAAATTGTATGATATTCTAATATCTTTTTATTCTCTCTCTTAAATGCATTCTTAAAATACATCTCCCTCATAATATAAAGTGCCATTGAAATTCGCTATTCTAACTAATGTATATTTAAATGCTCATAATATTCCCACGTTATATTATTTTATGCCGTTAATGCTCTATATATCATTGTAACTATCTCAGCAAATTACAGTTTGCGTTAAATTGGCTATTATTACACGCATATACCGTAATTTCAATGCTTCCTTTGTTTCTGTCTCTATAAAGTGCGTGCACGTGCAGCAGCAACAGTAGCAGCAGCACGTCGTACATGCATTATGTGCGTAGCGGTACCTTGTCGGAAGTCGCGTTTATTTCGTGGCGTCATAAAAATGGATCGTACATTCTGCTTCTTCCACCTAATTTCCCTCCCCGGTGTCGTCTGCGGCTTCGAAAAAACGCGCATAGCTCCCGCGGGGCGGAACCTCCCGCTAACGACCTCCATTCGGAAAATTTATTGCGCTGCCGTTCGCTTTATACGGCGACCAGAAAAACCATTCCTCCGCGGCCCCGAAACACACGAAAAAGTCAACGCGACTTCCGTGTACGCGATGATTTTCGAAATCGTTTGCTCATCAACTCTCTCGAGCCTCACGACTGAACAAATCTTTCAAACCAGGCTACTCTATATTGAGCAATTGAGCTAGAAGAAAATTCTCGGAGTAATCTTTGCACTTTCATCTGATCTATTTAATAAACTTCTATCATCCTTTGAATTAGATCTTGTGCTATTCTTTTCTGACTTATAACGAATTTAATTGGCACTAATGCACACTGAGATTGATTTAATTTGATTGTGAGTGTAAAAGTGAAATGTAAATATATTCAAAATTATAGAATACATACTTTACCTCTAACACTAATAAATTATACGAGCCTAGCTAGATGTTTATTTCAAACTTATAGACAAAATACAGTTATAAAACAACAGACGTTTCGATCTTTAACCAGGTCATTATTATCTGGGATAAATATCTGTTCAAACTACATTTCATTTAAAGTTAACAATAAAGACCTTGTAACCTCTGATCTTTTGATTTTTATCTAATTGAGCCTCATTTGGTCTTGTCTTTTTTATGATAAATTGTATTGAAGATTTCGCGATTTAAGCGTGTGTTACTGTGTTTATTTTAAACATATGTTTTTATACCAATCGGTGTATGACATAATTGGTCTGTTTTCTGTTTCTGCACTAGATTGCACTAGAACTCTCTTTCTCACTTTCAACAAATATCAAACATATACCTATCTCATTCCAAATTCTAAAAGTGTACTAGTAGTTCAGCCACAGAAAACAGACCTACAGTGTTCGATTGGATGCACCAGTGCATTCTGAGTGCATCCAATCAATTTCGCTATTAGATATGACGATATCTCGCTTGTTAATGATTGAAGAAGCGTTCAGTCGCATCGTATCTGCGAAACGGAGATATTCAGTTGCTGACGATTAGAATTTCGGGGGAAGGGAACGCGTCGCATTCCGGAAGCTCCACTTTCCACCTACGGATCGTGGAACGATGTGCATCAGAAGAGGACATCGCATCGTTCGCTCATGACGATCAAATCTACTAGTAGGGGCACACTGTTGAGCCGGTCCAAAACGTAGGGCTACCGGCAGGGCGGAGGAGGAACGAGAGCCCGCGAAAGAAAGAGAAAGAGAGGGGAAGTCGAACGAGCCGGGCATAACCCATAGAACAGTCCAATTCAGATCGTGGTTCGCGCAGGGCGTTTTTTCGGCGCGCACGCTTCATTCGCGCTCACGCGCCACCGATAACGACTTTGACGAAGGATAGTATTGTCCTCCGGGATGATTGACATTGATCTCGCGTACGTGCTGTGCCCATTCCGTTGATCGTTGTTTACCGCACACGATTGCTGCATTTTCCTGCACTTCTGTTCACCGTCTTGTGAATGAGTCATAAGTGATATTCGTACGCGTCGACGCACAATTTCTTTTCCTGAGGAACGATACGCAAGCATGATCATCACGGCAAAAGCGCATCCCTGGACACGGTATATCGAGGATTCGTGAGGCTATAGTTACGGTGAGGGTGCTTCTTTTTTTTTTTCTTTGAGCTTTTGTAGATCTTTTATAGGTCTCTTTATAGATATATATCTCTTTTATAGATATATAGGTTCAGCCGAAGCACAGATCTTTATATAAAACGGTGTCTACGATGAGATTTTAATGCGTAAAGCTTAAGTTTTAAGCCTCAAGCCTTAAGAAATTAGCCAACCGTAGTCCATTATTCTCTTCACATTCAACTGTAGTTGATCAATTTCTTTCAGCTTAAAGCTTATTAAGTTTTACGCTTTAAAATCTCGTTAGAGATTTCGTCCGATCGAAACTTTTACCGAAACCGAAAACGAACACTCATTATATGTCATTTTCGATTGAAACCATACAGCTTTTTTTCATAAATATTAATTTTAATATGTGTAATTATTGTTTCAATAATTCAATTATAATGTTTATGAAGAAGAAGTACTTATATTCTTTGGTTAAAATTGACACACAAGAAATTTAATTATTGTTTCAATAAATTATGATATTTATGAAGAAAAAGTAAATGATATGTGGGCATGTCTATACATATGGTCTTTGTAGGATTCCTATTTTTCTAATTTTGGTTTCGGTTTTGGTTGAAATTGACATGTAGCCGAGTGTTTCGGTTCAGTTTCGGTAAAAGTTTTGATCGGATTCTAAATTTCATTGCTCAACTCTTAATGTAGGTAATAAAGTATAAGAAAATCAATTAATCAAAGTTTTTTATTTCATAGAAAAAAAAAGAAATGATTGAATGGATGAAAAGATTTGATTCATTTTCTTATGCATTATGTTATGCATTATACAAGATAGTACTCTTGCCCTAACAATCCGTACAATTTTTTAGATACTTCCGACAATTATTGGCTGCATTCAGCAGAGGAAGCAGCTTTGCAACTGTTGTAAAATTCTTCAATACGATTGATTCTTGCTTTTGATTCTTTTATAAATCTAAATATATAAACCAATCATATTGAAGAATTTTACAACAGTTGCAAAGCTACTTTTTCTGCTGAATGCAGCAGATTGAAAGATGAATATTCATTTGTTTCATGCAGACTACATATGATAAAAAAATTTTTTTCTTAATTTTAATAATGAAAAACGATTTCATTTGTCATTTGCAAATTAATTATTTGCTAAGTGTATTATTGAAACGTTGAAATACTGAACACGATATACAACTTTCGTTGCCAGCGAAATTTCCCGTTATCACAAAACGTGAAAAGCAAAATTTTACGATACATTAAAGTTCAGAAGTGTACGCGCATCATTCTCGGAGGCTGTCAACATCGACGCTCAATCCTTAATTATTTGTCGCCGGCAAAAATGCGCTTACATCATCGCGCCTGATTAGATCTATATCTATGATGATCTATGAGAAAAATATTGAGTCACTTTACTTTCATCGACAAAAGCATCAGTCTTTTCTTCCGCAATTCTCATTTTAAAACTTATTTTATTATACGCTGGCAACCTGTTATTTCAAGTTTTAGAAACATTCATCTCTAAATTAGTTTCCATTGCGCATTGACACAATTAATTTGCGATGATATTATATTATCTATACAGAAAAAAACAATTTTATTACATAACATTTTTAAACATTTGAGTAAATATAAATCTACAAATAATTTTGTTGGTTAAAATAATTACGCATAAAACTCAAACATGATAAGCAATACTGCAGAAAAATATTGACATTCTAGTAATCAGTTTGAGTGTCTTACATCATTGTATTCATTCAATAAAATTTATTTTCAGAGTGTGATTTAGCTAAATTTTTTAATTCAGCAAATTTGTTTTTTTCCACATATTTATATCTTTCTATCCTATACATTCCGAGTTCGTAATCTTTTATGCCATGCTACTTTCTTTAATAGCCCTGCAATTCTGGAAATATAAACTTTTAGTAATAGATAAATAATAATTTATTTTGCTAAAATAACATGCGCGGTAATTTAATTTGTCCTATTAACAGTCCTTTCCTAATAGGAGATGTGCGATGAAATGAAATCAGAGCAAAATTACTGTATTGTTTTGATCCATGCGAACTATCTTTTACTATGGAAACAGAAAATATATACGTCTCCCTTCTCGTTTCAAATCGTTTTGTTATCGTTGTCGAACGTATTTGCGCCTCTCGCTCTGGCATTTTCATCAGGCCAACCTAACAACCCTTTGGGTGCGTTTCCTCCACCCTCGGGACGATTATCGCCGGATTTCATGCAGATGTCTCTTCCTCCTTCATCTCTCTTTCGTACATGAAACGAACGATTTTATTGAAGTATTTAAAAATTTAGCTACACATAGATACTAGAAAATAATTTTGTTCGACTAATTGTATCGAAGTAATTGTGCAAAAAAAATTTTGCAACATTGCTTATCATACTTGAATTTCTTACATAATTATTTTGATGATTCTAACAAAATTATTTTTATATCTCTCTCTTTATATATTTCTTTCTTTCTCTAGCTAAATTTTTAAATATTTCAACAAAATCATTCTTTATACGTATCTCTTTCGTCGAAGACAGGATACTGTAGCAATTACCTTAACAGAAACAGATAAGTAGAAACTTCTAAACAGCACAGAATATTTATAATAAATATTTATTATTATTCATTTTTGAAATGTTATATAAATATTTTATATAAATCTATATTCGAAAAATTAATAAAATTATATTAGATATTTTATATGATATTTATGATAAATATAAATAAATAGCATTACTAGTAAGTATTTTTATTTTGATCATAATGTCTTATTTTAAGTATTTTTATAAATTTTTATTTTTACTGCAACATTCACAATAAATATATTTTTATATAATATTTATAATAAATTTTATAATCTGTGCAATCTGAGACCCACAAATATTTACAATAAATTTAAAATAAGTCTTATAAATATTCACAAATACTTTGTAAATATTGTGTGCTACCTGGGCTAGGGAATATTTTTTTCTAGCAGTTTCCACAGAATTTATTTTTCACAATTTATTTTTGATGTTAATCAATTCTGAATTAATTGTAGACGTGGCAATACTTACTCTTTATTTATATCTATCGGGTTAATTTACATTTTGTGTGCTGTAAATTTTCGTTAATTAGACAGATTGACAAGTTCAATGTATGGTTTTAATATAGTAACGTTATTGCATTCGATATCGTGAGTATAGCTATGTTATAGGAATTAAGACTAGAAACTCCCATCTATCTTTACGATTAAATTGTCGCTGATATCCCCCTATATGCGACTTCAATTTAACTGTAATAACGGCGGCACTTCCTATGAAAGCGCTAGCGCGTTCTCAAAGCGCATTGAACGTATCAAGTACGCGGCGCTGCTTAGTCGAATCGAATCGGGATAGGCTGGTATTCATCGTAATGCATTAATACGGTTTCCTTCTTGAAAGTAAAAAAAAAAAAAGGAAGAAACCAACGACGGTGACTTTCTCCTATTATACCTATATTATACCGTGTACAACAGCGCTCGCGTTTATTGCTAAAAGGCGCCCCGTGGAAAATACCATTCACCAATTCAGACGCCGTGCGTGTTTTTCTCGTCGAGCCACGATATGCGATTTTCATACAGGAAAGACTCCCCCTCGTTTGCGTTAACTCGACATCACGAATAGCCATCCTTTTCCATAAACTCGCCAAGCAATATCTATCGTCATCGATTTCGTCATATTCAACCATCCCTATGATGAAAGTAAATGCTTCTCCACTTTATTTTCCTTTTTCTCTTTTCATTACGAGTTGCCGAAATTTTTTATAGAAGCGGAAGCAGATTGCTTCGCATTGCTCGATCGTGCAAGCCGGCTGCCATCGACGTATATCGAATTACGGTATCGCGCGATTACGGAAGCTTATGCGTATTACGCGAATGCAAGATATTTAGAGTCGCGTCTATTTTTATCTTTGCTCACTTCGTCGAATTTTTTTTTTGCCAAGTTTCTACGCGAATAAAGACGCTGTAGGCGAGTGAAAAAAATACGAGAAGAGAGGTGACACGTATCCATTTATTATTCTGCAGCATCTTTCTCGGGAGTTGAAAGCAGAATTGTTGATACATACACCCCCCTTTGTTCTGTATATAATTTTGAGAAGGAGCTTCGATCGAGAGGACCAGAACTCTGTTTTTCCGCCGTACGAACGCGATGACATAATACCGCCGCCATAAGAGCGCCGAATTACGACGATGGCGAACGCGCGCGCACACATTGCCCACCCGTACACGCACACGCACGCGATCTACGCTGCAGCACACGCCCGTATTGCAGCGACGTATGTACACCGCGTGCGTGCGCAACGCCTCGGGATACGCGTGCGTGTGTGCGTGTATGCGTGGCTAAGGCGCGCGTGCGGCTCCGCGGCGACCTTGAGCCTCCCTCTCGAACCCCCTCTCTCCCTCTACAGTGTGCGTTTTGCCACCACGCAATGCCGCGATCCCCACCTAGTCCATCGCGATGCGTATATTTCCCTCCTCTTTTTCGGCCTCCTTCTCCCTCTCCTCTTCCTCCTCTTCCCTCTCCTCCTTCTTCACCTCCTCCCGCGTCTCTCACCGCGCTTCTCCTTTCGCGCGGTTCCGGAGCCACGCAACTCTCTCGAGGCGCCTCCAACGCCTAAATTTCCCCTCCGCCTTCACTTTTCGTACCGCTGGTGGTTCCAACGATGAGCATCGATCGCGCTGCTCCGCTGATTTTTGATTCCGAATTCGAGCTGTATGACTGTATTGAGCTTATTCTCGTCCGCCGACAAAATTTATTAAGTAACTTCGAGATGACAAGGTGGACATGTCAAATTTCACTTGCAAATTACCTGACATCTGCGAGCACATGTGCTTATCAAGTCAAGGTTGTCGTTGCATATTCGAAGACACTTTTTCTACCGCATGATTCCTGGTATGTGACGTTTTACTCCCACGATGCGGCCCTGGTGTACATTGGTTAAGAAGTGGGGGCGCGCGATACCTTAGAAGCGTTAGGGAACGGAGAGAGAGAGAGAGAGAGAGAGGATAATGTTCGAAAATGAGATGGAACAAGATAGAACGTCGTAGCGCGCGCGAGAGCAAAAGAATAAAAAAGTTCAGCACAGGAGAGAGAGAGAGAGAGAGAGAACAGGAGGGAACACTGCGGAGACCGCGAGAGTCGAAACTTCTAGCCTTAAGCAATCTTTACCCCTCCGCCGAATCGTCAATCCCCCGCCCTTGACCACCCACCCGGCGACCCCCCTTTCCCCCTTTAAGGTGGTTCCGTGTTTTGCCGGGTGCCCGAAGAAAACATCGAAAAAGCCCCTACAAAGCCTCGATTCCGTGTAACATTTGCATCGCCACCGATGACCCATATTCACATTCTTCTCGGTGATATACAGCAACAGCGGTCCCTCAGTGTTGCGTCTTCCCTGTCCCTCTCTCTCTCTCTCTCTCTCTCTCTCTCTCTCTCTCTCTCCCTAGTTCCCTCTCGAACGGTCCGTTCCCGTCTCCTGTCGTCTCACGGTACCGCGCGCTACCGCCTAGCCTCCTCGTTCCCTCTCGCTCGCGCCCGCGATTTTTCGACTGCCGCGCATCGGTGGACCCTCCCGCCTCCCGCACGGCGACCGCGCGTACCCGGGCCCGGTCGTACCGCGAACGACGACAGTCACGCGCGATTCGTTCATATGCCGATGCGCGATGCAAGCCGGTGACTCGATTTCGGCCGGCGAGTGCGTATAGTCAGTCGTCTATTTGGTGCTCACGCAACCGATGCGTCACTGGTCCCGGACGTACAGCGGGATCGGCCGGGAGTTTTACTCGAAACTTTTCCACTCTTTCACGCGAGTTTTTATACACTCTTGGTGATACCAATCGATATCGGTGATACAACTGTGGACACTGTGGACACTGCACGCGCGGATTATAGGACACGTGCGCGTGGCTTCTTCAGGACTCTGTAACTTCTTCTGTTCTTTTTTCTCTTCTCCCGGTAGTGACGGCGTATTCATCCGTGACGCGAAACAGAGAGACTAAAGTGCATTTCGGAGTAACGTCACCGGTTGTCATTGTTGACGATCGTGGAAGTTCGTGAATGAAGTCAGAACGGCTGTTTCGCTTGTACTCGTTGACACGCCCCTGCCATCGTTAACGTCTTCTTTTCTTCTCGCTCGGCGTCGTTACGTTATCGTGGACGTCGCGGAAATGCGGTGGAATTTTGACATGGCGCGGCCGGCATCGTGCGATCGCGGTTCGTGATTGCCGATAGGCAAGGCACTTCGCATGCAACCGCGATTCTGAAAAATTGGAATTGTTTATGTTTGATGTTTACCGCAACGACGTAACGCACGCGTGAAGCAACGATTGTTGGACCACACGTTCGATAATTTCTCTGTCACGATAAACATATTACGTACGGAGTCAGTGAAGCGAAAGAGGTATGTCGCGTTTATGAAATATCTCGAAGTTATCAACATCCAACATTCAAAACAGGTGACAGTAATGCGAACTTTTTATCGCGTGTTCATTCACGGATCGAGATCTGGATATAGTATACTCTAACTTCGATTATACAATAGCGAGAATGTAAATGTTTTATACGAAATATTTTCTTCATATTTAATGGCTTGTGAAAAACTTGTTGATAATTTTATGAAATTTCTAATTAAATTATTTTTTTCTCTTAAAATTTAATTGCTTTTAACATCTGCAGATGTATTTTAATCTATACGCACACACTTCTCGTAAAAAAAAAAGACAGATAGATATCATTATTTATTAAATACTCTAGATTTGAGGATCCTCTCAAACACTAAAAAGCAATGCGTGATTGAGTAACAAAATAAGAGAAATTGAAACCAAATACATAAAACAAAATTATAAAAATAAGATGAAAATAAAATGTAAGAATAGGAATAGATAAAACTTGAGAAGCAGAATATTGAAAAAAAATTTACTGAATCTCAATACACATTTCTTTAAATAGCACTAAGTAAACGTTTACTTACAAATAAATTATTTACTTATAAATAAATTCTTATTCAATAAGAAAAAAATGATAGTTAAAATTAATGGTTTTTGTTTAAATATTTACAGATCTTCTTATAAATATTTATTAAAATTTAGTTTTTTCAGCGTAGGTAATAGCACATAACTTACAATAACGAGAGAGAAAGCAAGATTATAGAAGTCGATAATCGAACTTTCTTTCTGCGTAGCTGGACGAGCAATTGGGCACGAGCGCGATCAAGAAGGTAAATATCCAGGTGGCTGCAAAAGGAGCAGTGAAGGTCACGGAATTAAGCCTAAGGGTGGCATCATGGACTTTCATCAGCAGCAGTTTTGCCTCAAGTGGAATAGTTTTGGCAGCAATTTAGCAACGACGTTCTCGAATTTATTCAAAAGCGAGAGTCTTACCGATGTCACCCTATTTTGCGAGGGTAAGTTTCTTCACACGTGAAAGTGCATTATTTTTTCTTCTTACAATCTATGCGTATTCTTTTGAACGCGATAAATGAGTTTCTCTATCGAAATAATTCTTCAATATGATTCGAACAAAAGTACTACTAGCTGATTTGTTAAATATAGTATTTCGAGAAATTATATAAATGTATGTAAAATGATGACTTTGACTCAAAATCAAGATAATTGTTGATTTAAAATAATTTAATAATTTCAATAACTTTTTAATAATTTTAATAATATAGACAGCGTGCGCGTCAAAATGTCTTAATAACGTTTTAATGATTCTGAATACGTGTTGTCTCGTCATTAAAAAAAAAATTGGCTCAAGTTATTTTAACTGGACCAAAGTTATAGTGACTCAATTTTATGGTAAAATAATCGTTGAATATTTCGAAGAGTTATTTAGACGTAACTCGAGTAAAATATTGAAGAATTCGATCGTCTATTCTAACCTTGACTCTTTGGTCTCGTTTATGCAGGTAAAAGGTTGACGCGCAAAAAACAACTTTATCGAATTGCATTCTCGTAATATTTCTAGCGTCACATGCGCTGCATTTGCCGAATCGAATTGAATCTACATAAGCGATGAGAAAGTTTCATGCCTTCTTTGTACGAACATAGGACAATTTCAGGCTTTCACTTTTTGGACATCACTTTCAAACAAGGAGCACTTGTGAAGGTTCCACCGTTACTTGTTCGATAGCCGCTTTTGAGTTGTACGTGATCGAACGTGTTGACGCGATGCAATTAATGCAGCACCGAGCACGCAATCGATACAGCCATCCATTTAATAGTGATACAAATTAATTTCATATTCATTTATTTTCCAATGTAAACGGTAATCAAATGCAACGATGAGTTTTTTGCGTCACAGTACCGCAAATTATCATATGCGTAAATCAAACATGATAGACTAAGTCACTCCTAACTCGTTTTCTAATAGAAAAAAATCGCTGTGCCGCAATGATTATCGAATGAATCAGTTCTTTCTTTTTTTTCGGAATTTTTAGAAGCTCCATAAAATTTTCAAAACAATTATACATTGAGAGAAATCATTTCATGTGTCAATCAAAATTTTAACTAGGACAACAAAGTTTTTGTTATTCTAATCAAATGTGTCGTTGTAATTCATTAGAATAACCAAATTTTGGCTATTCTAATCAAATATTGATTAGGACACAATTTTTGAATTTGTACCTACAAAATGATTTCTTTCAGTGTATAGTAAATGTGATTAACGAAAAAACGTAATAAAAAATAAAGATGCATCTGTTGCTAAAATTAGAACAACAGAAGAGGTCTAGATACTCGTATGATTCATGTGAGAAAAATATATTCACGAAAAAAGGAAATTAATAAAAATTATTTGGTAATAACAAAACTTTAATACTAAAACCACTAAAACACATTTAAATTAATCCAATCACGATTCAAGATAAATTTGGCTTTCTAGGAAGAGTTGTCACATAAAAGTAAATTTACTTGTAATTAATTACAATTTATTTATGAAAAGTCAAAAAGCTAACGCTACGTGTAAAATTAACTGGAAAACGAAAAACTATCAGATGAGTAAAAAAATGGACGTAATTCTAGTGCTATTAAACAATTCATACAACGTAACAGAAAACCGATCAAATATTTTACACCGGCCGTTTTGCGCTTCATAAATCGCGTCTGATCAAACGTGAGCCGCGACTCCTTGCGCGAAAGGGCCAGCTGGCGGCGCGTTGCATTCGCACGCTATCACTTCGTCGGCAAGTGGTACAAGTTCGCGACTGCATAGGAAGTGCAGGGGGTAAATTGGCCCGGCTCCCTACCCTCGATAGCCACCCAATCGGCAGCGCGCAGAGTCAGTCGGCGTGCATGTGCGAGTCTCGGTTCTTGCACATCGTCGTGGTGTTCGGATGCAGTGTATACGCATGCATGTGCACACGCGAATTTCCGTGTACGCCTTCCCCACCGACGCAGCGAGTGCAGCGGGTGCTCTTGCGGCCTGTTCGCGCGAAACCGCAGTTCGCACCGAGCAGCGGTGCAACGCGCTTGTTTTACCATTGTGATCGCGCGGGATTCGTCAATCTTGCGAACGATCGGTATTTTCAACTAGTGATTGGTATCGAAATTTTGTACGAAAATTGCAATAAATAACGAATTCGATTGGACGCAATAATACGCACAAGGCGCATATCATAAACAGTCAAAATGGATTCCGGAATTATTTAATTATCTCTAAAAAATAGAATAAAAATATCTCTAAAAAATAGAATAGAAATAATTGAAAATAATTGAATAATTCCGATCGGAATTCATTTAACTCCATAATATCCTGGTGCATATTAAAGTTGTATATTGATTTAATCTGAGTGTAAAAGTAAAATGCAAATAGTTCGAAATATAAATTTTTATGTTTATAATAAACACATATCTTTACGCCAATTTGTTTACTACTTTAAATATATGCAATGCGCACTGAGCGTCCTATCGAATTCGATAATAGTCTCATCGCCTAGAATGCGATAAATAAGATATGTAGTCGATGATGTCTTTAAAAGTGTAAACAAGTATCGTAGAAATTGTGCAATCGAGGAATTTTTCGTCAGCTTGAAGTGACGTAAATACGCGTTATTACGATCCACGCAATAATTACGTCTGTGTACACGTATTACGGTGCATTTGAGTGAATCGAAATTGCGCGACGTCAATACAATTGACAAGAACTTATCAGAGGAAATGCGCGATAACGTGCGTATGTACTTGAAGCTAAGTGTCAGTATGTGAAGCTAGATATTCGCTGCTTTATCGTTCGCTGAATAAATAAGAATGTGCAATTTTCGGCAAACGTTCTTACGTTCCCTGCTTTTTCGACGCGACCGGTTAATGCAAGACGTAATATGTGCGTGTATACTTAAAGATTCTTCAGTGTTCCTCTAAGTGCACGGCGTGTGAAGTCGTCGAGTTCCAATCGATCGACTAATCTTCATTGCATGACCGTAGAATTGATCAAGTTAATTGACCAGTTGGTTCACCATTTGTCGTGCGAGTCTTTTTTTTTATTACGAATATCTTCGTAGTTATTCAGTGATTGATAAAGCTGAATCATCTCGATATTCTGGTTATCATCGAACTTTCAAATGCTGTTTCGACGACGATATTGTTACAGACTTTAGGAGAGATAACATTAAAATGTAAGTAACACCATCAGAAACATGCTTCTCTTCGTTACTGTTATTACATTTCCTAAACTTGTGCATAAAAGGACAGGATTTTATTGAGAAATTTGGTTTATTATTTTTATATCGTTCATTATTTACATCAGCCATTCATCTTAATTGATAAAGATAAACGGTCTTAATGGAGCACGTGCGGTACATAATCGGCAAAACATCCAACGAGCTAAACATTTCATCGAGTAAATACTTTATGACGTACACTGGTTTTATATCTATCTAACATACAAACCGGATAAGTATACCGCATAAAAGTGATAATACTATCTCTTGCAGTTAGATCATAAATATACGAACTTATAACGAGGCCAATTAAGAAGTAAGTTACCTTCTTACATTTTCCTATTTTCATTGCTGCAATTCGTGTTGTAAAGCTAGTTTCTTTGTTAAAATCATGATTGTGTCATTCATATTAAAAAAATAAAATTGCGATAATATTCAGAAATTTACATTTCCTCTCCTCCTTTTTCTTTCTCGCTGGACTTTTTCTCAATAGAGGATGAAGGAACAATGAAATTGAAGTCTGACGAAATCGAATAAAGTTAAAGTTCATGGATATCGATTTGCGATAACCCTCAGTGGCCGTTTTCCGCTTCTGAGGCCGCATTTCCGAAACTCTCCTCATGTTTCGACATTGATATTAATTTCACCGTATATGCAACCGGCATACTGTTATCGCCTAGAGACGATCCGTTATTCAATTCTCGTCTAACGCTTTCACTTTATAAACCGTGTGCGCGTGATTTAGGAAAACCGCAACTATAGAGAGAATGAGAGCAAAGTCAGACAGAGAACGCAACTAAAATCAATATGAGCGGTTCCTTCGAACCTTAAATATCTTCACGAAAAGAACGATTCTGCTAAACTATTTAAAAATTTAGCTAGCCTTTCCGATATATGGCATACCCGGTTTTTTCAATGCTTTCGAATTCTTTTTCCATTGCTTATATAACTTTTTTTCATTAATTAATTTATTAATAAAGATGTAAACCTTTGCTCAAACTGTTATATTTCTCAGTGTTTGGCGTTTCAATTGAAAAACAATTTTTTACAATATGTTCATTTTTATGAAAGTCATAAGCAATTGAATTGGGTACACTATAATGCAATGTGTTGTTCTCGTAATGGCATTGAAGGGTTAAATATAGAAATATTATCTGAAGATAATTTTATTGAACCATCAAAATAATTATACAGAGTACTCAAGCATAATAAACAATACTGAAAACAAATTTTAACACTAACAATTGCAAAACTTGGGCGTCATACAGAATTATTTTGAATAATCTAACAAAATTCTTTTCGGATCTCTATCTAGCTAAATTCTTAGATACTTTTAGTAAAACCATTCTTTTCGTAAAAGAGGTATGTTATTTTTCAATCTTTGTATGAAAGGATTAACAAATAAGTTTCTGCATATTCAATATTGTTTTTAAACGTCGCTGTATCGCGACGTTTAACATATAACATATACGTATACGAAATTGTAAGATTCTTTCTCAGAAGGCCAAAGGGTGGAAATTTGAAAGGAAGCCAGGCGAGTGGGAAGGGTTCAAGGACGAGAAACAATCGAAGATAGGGAAAGGAGTAATGCGTCAAGTCGTGGCGTCACGAAGAAGAAACGTTGGGCAACTACCGAGGAGTTTGTGGGCGCACGCGCACATCCGCGTTAGTGTGTGCACCCGCAAGTGCGTGTATCTCGTAAGAAGCCCGAAAAGTAGGTCTTGGTTACAGTTAGATCTAACCGTCCT